AGTCCCAGCTGATCGTCTGGGTCTTCCTTTGTTGCCCTGCACAGGAGAATGGAGCTGGAAAGCAGGTTAGTGGGGTGGGGAGGGAATGGGGATTTTGCAGTAACCTTCCCCCAGGAGTGGGGAGGGAATGGAAATTTTACAGTATCCTTTCCCTGCCACGCCCACCAAGCCACGCCAAACTCACCAAGCCACGCCCCCAGAACCGGTGGTAAAAAAATTTGAATCCCACCACTGGTGCATACATACATGTTGGTTGTGTGAAGACAAGGAATATGTTCTAGACAGAATAGTTTGGGAGAATAGCAATAGCACTTAAGACTTATATTCCATTCCACAGTACTTTACAGCCCTCACTAAGCAGTTTACAGAGTCAGCCTCTTGCCCCCAACAATCTGGGTCCTCATTTTACCCACCTCGGAAGGATGGAAGGCTGAGTTAACCTTGAGCCTGGTGAGATTTGAACTGCCAAATTGCAGGCAGCCAGCAGGCAACAAAAGTAGCCTGCAGTATTGCACTCTAACCACTGCGCCACCATGACTGCTATCGTGTTAAAAACCTATCTCATCCCACTGGGATTGGCCCATTTTACCCATGTCAACAGAGGAGGCACGCTGCAGGCCCCATCAACCTGATTATTCCAGCTGGCAAGGTCCAGGAAAAGGCCTTCATTGTACCTGCCCTCTGGAATGTCTTGCACCCCACTGTGAGGTTGGCTCCAACCCTCCTGATCTTCCATACATTGGAGCCTAAAGACCTCATTCTGCCACTTAGTTTAGGACTCCAATGGGGGAGCAACATAATGGAGGTGGTTGATCAATTAACAACAGATCCTACCTCCCCTGCCCCCTCCTGCCCCTGCCTTCCCCATATTAATTAATTATGATTTTTATTTATACATTTTTTCTTCTTTAAAATACATAAGTGCTTAATAAACAGCGTATTGTCTGGATCAATTTGTTTATACAGAGTATTTATAAACTAGTAATAAAAATAATAATTGTAATAACATCCATAGTTAAACCACCACAATTTACTATTTATAGTATTTTTTTTACTTCATTTACTTATATATTTCAATAGCCTTTAATTGGATCATAACATATAGCTTGTATTAACTTATTTATGGTTTGTGTGTGTGTGTGGGCATGTATTTTTATGTATGTCTTTTATGACTGTAAGCCACCCACAGTTACCCTGTGATGTTCATTATTTTAATTTTCCTCCTTCTCCCCATTTTACATTTTTTTTAACATGGTTTCATTCCTTCATTTGCTATGAAAGGCTCAATATAGCACACATAATGGCCCCCAAAAACCCATGTTGTGCGCTCCGACTTAAGACAAAGTAGGGGAACAGGGACACATCAAGGGAAAGAAAAATGCTGCCAATCCCAACATCTGGAGAAATGATTAACTTGGATCAGATTGGAGGCCTGTACAATTTGTGGCTCTGCCTTGACTATGAGAACAGAAATTGCAGGGCAAACAGACAACCTTTTCTACTGTTGTTGGATAGATGTTATTTTCTTCCTCTACCGTGCCAGTCGAAAGCACAGCTGTCATCTGTCAAGGACTCAGGAGAAACACCCTTGCTAACTAAGGAAATGAACTTTTGCTTTATTAAACAAAAGAAAGGTTAACAGTGAAGTTTGTTGCGGAAAAGCTATTTTTCTCCTAGCTGGCAAAGAACCAAAAGAAAGACCCATGGATACAACATACAAAAGGCCACAAATCAAGCGAAGAGCTTACTCTTCTGTCTCTGAAATACAAATTCAATTTCATCTTTCCAAACAAAACAGACCAGCAAACCAATTTTGGATTGGTAAATTTCAACTCTTCTAGGTCTGATCCAACCATCTCCCTCTCTAAGGCCACATGTGAAAAAAACTGATGTGGCTGAAGATCAACTCTATTTTCTGCTCCAAATGCTTTGCATTATATTATGTATCCAAAGACAGAGAAAAAAGCATGTTAAAGATTGGGCTGTCAAAGCTGAAGATTTCTACTGCTAGTTATATAGTTAATATCATATTCAGCTTTTACTGTATCTGTTTTGCCAACTATCATGTTTGTTATATTAATACAAATGAACAAGCTTACAATTTTAAACTTGGGGTGGGGGTGGGGGAAAGCTGTAGGCTGGTAAAACATGAAATAAAGTCCTCTTCCTTTCCCACTATAATTTGATTTCTCTGGTTGGTGGGAAGAGGGGGAGGAGAAAGGGGGAGAGTTAGGCTGGGAAATTACCCAAAATTTGGCTTTTGTGCATGTAGGCTAAAAGATTGTAGCAATAAAGTTCTGATTTATGAGCATGTTTCCATGTAAAACAATAACCACTAATTTGCACAAGTCAAGTTCAAATTGCTCAAACCACAAGAAAGTGCAAATTTCTAGCTCTATGTATTAAGACTCCAATGGCTATTTCCCCCTGCAATGTATCTAAAGGTTGGAAGGTCCTGAGAAATGTAATCCTAAAGATATTAAATGGGTTTGGTTGTTTTTACAATATATAGTAGTAAGTAAGCCAGCTCATTTCAACTGACAGAAAAAGTAAAGAAGGCCATGGGACACATATTGTATTATAATTGATTATATTGGAGATGCAATATAGTATTCATGTCATTACTTTCCCCACAAAGCATCCAAAACAGCCCATGAAAATTAAACTGGATTCACAAATTGCACTTTGATGATTTACTAATTAAGCCACAATTGATTGGATTCACATTACTAATCAGGAACAATCAGCAATCAACAATTTGTAGTTGGGCAATTCATGTAGTGGACTAAAACTAAGGAGATGAGGTTCAAGTTTATTTTTAATCATGGAAACTCACAGAAAACGTTCGGTCATTCCAAAACAACCTCAAGGAGTCTGGGACACCTTTTCCATGTTTATTAAGATCACAAAAAGCTACGCCTTTGAATGAATGAATCAATTTTGGCTGTTTTAGATTAACATAGCTTTCTTTCCACAACACGGGTGTCAAACCCGTGGCGTCCTGTTGCCATTTCACAACGTTTTTTTCTGATTTGTGGAGCTGGGATGGGCGTGGCCTATGTATGATGCCATTTGCCCACGGGCCACCAGTTTGACAACCCTGTTCTACAGCATCCCCAATGAGAAGCACCAAGTTTGGCCAATCATTACCTTTTACCCCAACTCATCGCCATGATAAAATGAAGATCCTTTGGAAAGCTGCTTTAAGTTTCTGGAGAAAAGCCAAGCTATACATCTAACAAATCCAACTCAAATCCAAATGTTCCTAAAAACTAGACAACTGAATCATTTGTCTCTGATGCCATGTAAAATAGTACTTAATGATAGCATTTAAAATCAATGTGGAAAAAAAGTTAGCAAGTCTGTTCAAGTATAGGTACAACAAATCCTGCAAGCTAAAATCAGAGCAAATCAGCTTTCTGACAAATTAGATGTATGAACAAAGTGCTACCGAGGATTTAAACAATCTCCACCCAAAAGCTGAAATTTTCCATTCTCAGTTTGACAAGAAGACATCATCAACATTTCAAGGCTAATTTATTACTGTCTGTCAAATTGATTCTCAACTGAAAGAACAAATTTTATAGGACATTCCTTTCTCTCTTGAAAGGTAGATATCTGATTTGTGGTAATTCCAAATTCACTGGAATCCCAGAAAATAACATCTGTATCTAGCAAGACTACCTCTACCTTTTTATCATACCTGTTCTTATACTTTCAAAAGCTTTTAATCCAAGTGGCCCAGGAGCAGATAATGAGTGCAGCAAAGCTGCAGAGTACAGAACATGAATGAACACTAGTTATATATTTTTGATGGGTGGGTCAATAAAGCGTTGATGCCAAAATTAAATTCAGTTCCCAAACACTTATGCTAGCATGGCATGGCTAAAATGCCTTGACATTTTGTCAAAGCATTGTATGTATGCTCACATGTTTGGCAAGTAGGTGTTTACAGAACAAAACCTACTGCAGATGGGTTCATTTCTAAGGAACTTTCATTATCTGTCTGGTTATTTAAGAAACAGGTGTTCAAGAATGTATTTACCGAAGCAATCCTTAAAAGATAAGTGGGAATTAGTGGAGTCACAAAACAGGCCATATGATCCTAGAGTTGGAAGAAAGCACTTACACCATGTCATCCAAATTACTGCTCAGTGCAGGAAACCAAATTAAAGTGTCCATGACAGGTAGCTGTTTGGCTACCCCCTGAAGACAATGAAGGGAAGAGCAAAATTTCCCCAAATGTTTGTTTCAATAGTTTGAACTGCTCTGACCATTAGTTAGTTAGGTTTTTTTAAAAAAACAACAACAATATGCAACTGGAATCTGCTTTTAAGCAAATTCAATGATTTTGTGTCCTGCGTCTGGGAACAATGGTGTACAAGTCTTGGCTTTTAAGTCATATTCTGCCAACCTTGTGAGACAGACAAGAATGACCTTGGACACAAGAAACACCAGGTCCATCTTTATTGTTGGTTTGCATTAACAGAATTCTCCAAGAATGAAAGAATCTATTTCTCCTCTGACCTTTATAGTCCAAGAAACTAGGGAAGGTCTCCTTTGAGATGCTCCCATTCCTTCTGCAGGCTTAGCTGTCTCTTAATTGACCTCTGCCTATCTGCAGCTCTTCCTCCTGCCTCCCAAGGACATTCTCACATACATTACATTTTCTTTCAGGTATTTGAAGAGTGCTATTATATCCTGTCCCAGAGCTACCTTTAAAAGGCTAAAGTTGCTCAGCTCCTTCAATTTTTCTTCCTAAGAGTTAGCTTCTATTTGCCTGTTTATTCTCATTGCCCTTCTCTGAATCTGTTCCAATATGTCCAAATGCTTCTAAAAACATTTACAATTGTTTTCATATTTCTATTTTATTACACTGTAAACTACCCAGAGTCAGTTTGGATAGTAAGATGGGTGACATTTAAATTTAATAAATAGTGCAGATAAAACGGAAATGAAAAGCAGCCACCAAAAAGATCAATGCCCTTATTTTTCTGTACCTTTGTTCTTGGCTTTGGCTTGGGCATTTCTGTCTCAAGGTTCTTCAGCAAGATTGGCGGAGATGTCTTGCAACAAGCCTCCTATCAGGAAACATCAAAAGCAATTCATAAAAATATATCTGGAGAGACATCCTGAAACAAGAACAGACTACTGGTTCATTTGATAGGCATTTGAGTTTTCAGATAGAGATATGCATTCACATGTTCTCTTCCGCTTCTGTGAAATGATTTTTTTTAAATAACAACTGGATTGACCAAAAAGGGCCATCTCAAAATAAAGCTTCAGCATTCCTGATGGACTTCATCAAAAGTTGCAATTGGAAATCCAAGCTTAGTCGTCGGCTAAGTATTCAAGTAGACAGGACTGCCAACATATCTAGCAGATCCTAATGTTGTGATTTGTTTTAAGATTTGGTAGGGTATTCTGGGTTTGTGAGAAAGGGGGCTGGGATTATGTTCATAAAACATGATGTTGTCATATTCTGATGGGTTAACTATAGAAGAAAAACTACAGCACCATCATGAGAAAAATAATTTACAGTACTGACTATCAGAAGAGCTTAAAGACCAAAACAGAGAAATAGTCTAGAACCATTGCTTGCTTCTTCAATATATAAAAGTTCACATCTTTATCCATCTGTGGTACAGTGTTGTGTGATATCACAACTTAGCTGCAGTTTGACAGTGCTTTCTTCAAAGTTATTGATAATTATTTATATGCTTTGGAAAGATATTCAGATGCTGTAAAATATAGCAATAGCATTTAGACTTACATACTGCCCTGTAGTGCTTTACAGCACTTTGTGGGTGGTTTACAATGTCAGCATATCCCCCCCAACAATCTGGGGGTGATATGCTGACATTGTTTTACCAACCTTGGAAGGATGGAAAGCTGATTTAATCTTGAGCCACAACAGGATCAAACTCCAGGCTGCGGGCAGTGTTTGCTTGCAATACTGCAGTCTAACTACTGTACCACCAGGGCTCCTCTGATGCAGTGGTTAGGACATATAACTTAATCTATAAAACTCTAAAGCTACCTATAAAGATCAGAATCATACAGGAAATGATTTTCCTGGAATAACTCCATGAAAGTAAAAGTAATTGAATTCTGAAGCAGGAAAAAAATATAAATGGTTTTAAACTTTAGTTTTGAAGAAGAATCCCGAGAATATTATCAATAGTCAAGAAAACAAAGGAAAATAAATCCAGAGTTCTTACCCAAGGCACAAGTGACCATATTCAAATGGTCATATTTTGGACCTATTATGTGAAGACTTAACTTTCTTGAGGAATCAATAATATTGGGGAAAGTAGAAGGGAAGGGAGATCGACCAACAGCAAGATGGATGGATCATGATAGCAATGGCTATCATCTTGGAGAAGGATTACTTTATGAAGTTACCAGGATCTCTTTGTTTGTTTATTTGCATTCAGGCTGCTTATGATTTTTTTAAAGGTTTCCCCTGATTTTTAATTGTAAGACACCCACCATCGTTTGGAGTTGGGCAGTCTATAAATTGTATAAATAAATCTGATGGCATGTAAGTCATAGAAAATAATAGGGGGAAGTTATTTAGAGCTGCAGTATCATTAGGAAGACATGTCAAAATGATGACAGTGACACAATATAAAACAAAGTCACTCTCCTTGGCAGCTTCACAGGACGCTAAAGGAAAGATCACAGGAGCTTCTAAACTTTCACCTAGAAAGGAGTGTATTTTAACCTCGCTAGGGAAGAATATCCCAATGGATTTTGTCCCCTTGTTCTTCTATCTTTTTTTTTAAAGAAAAAATATCCATCTGCTCAACGAAAAACTAAATGATTTGCAAGAATAAAATGTTCTCTTGAAAAGAAATAATCAAAATTTTGTTTATAGTGCTAAAAATATCCAGATCTACTATGTACCTTTTAGGTTTAGTCTATTTCCCTAATGGCAGAGGAGATTCAGAGTATGTCAATTGTGCATTAACAATGATAGTCAGCTCAAAGCCAGGTTTGCTTATAACCCTAAACCATGTTAAAACTGGTTTATGTTTGGTCTCAACACTGCCTGAAGCTCAATTATTGTGGCCTAATATTATATATGAACCAGGAAACTTCAGCAATTTTAGCTGAAAAATTTAATTTAGCCTTATGGGTGAATGCGCATAAGTGATTAGATGGTATTTCTTGCATCAACCCAAAATGTGATCTGGATGTTTTCTTAGTTAAATTAACATCTGGAATACATTACATTACATTTGACAGGGAAGGAGTTATTACCAGATAATGACCAATTGCCTTATGGTAAATGCTTTTACCAGTAACAGGAAAGGGGGTGGGGGGGAGGAAAGACATACTACAGAGAAACATTTTTGGCACAATGTTGTGGAAAATATAACATGTACTAAGCCAGGTTCATTTGCTCTTTTCTTTAATCCAACCAGTTCAGCAAAACGTGAACAACTGTTGTTTATTAGCCAATCTGTTTATATGTCTCTGTTAAAGTTAAACCTCTACCTTACCCTTACTACACAAACTTAATTATTTTTGATGTACTTTGCCAAACTTCTCTGGAGACTTAACTACAGTCATTCTCACACTTCTTAACTAAAATACAAGCTCATTACAGGTTAACAGACTCGGAAAAAAAAAATTAGAAGCCACCATTTCAAATAACTAACATGTTTCTATTTCAAGACCGTGATTTCCTAACAGGACTATCTCAACTATGAATAAATAAGACTCTGTGCTGTCCATTTTAAAAGGTGTTTCAGCATAGTAAGTTCTCCTTTTATAGTTTCCTAGTCTAATATTTACTTATTGGTTAATGTCTTATGTTGGACATACACTCATGAACAGACAATTTGAAATAATATCAAATACAATCAATACATTGATTGTATTCCTGTTATGCCAAACTTTTTTTTAAAAAAATCAATGTGTATATTCCAGAGCTAGATTACAAAAATAAATATATAATACTTCAAAAATCTGGAATATCCGTGCACTGTTTTATTTCATGGCTTTCCTGTCACCTTCCAAGGTTCTGCTTTTTTAAGAATCAAATAAGAATGTACGACTTTAACATGGTTCTTTTTATGATCCTTTTTAAGTTCCACAGCTATGGTGTCACTAATCAAAAATTAGATGATTTGACCAAGAAAGTAAGCAAATAAAGATTCATTCTCCCTGATTATACATTTCTTCCCAAATACATTCCTCTCCCTCTCATCAGGCTTTTATTTCTCCATCAATTTAACCAGTAACGAGAACAACAAAAGCTTAAAGAGAGGCAATTTTTTTTAAAAAAAATCTTTCAAGTGATGCTTTTCTCCCATGTATTTATGTACATTTGTTTCTTGGTTTAAAAACAGTCTTCAAGAGATAGTTGGCTGCCTGGATGATAGCCAGAAGCAAATTGTTTCACATCATTATCACAAATGCTAAAAAGCCAAAAACAAAAACAAAACCAACCCCAACTCTTTTTACATGGTTGCTGGGTTTCATTTGGACATAATACCAGTCAAGGACGTATCTTATTTTCCAAGGCTACTTCCTATTCAACTTAAACAATGGTCAGAATCTCAGATTAACTAGGACTTGTAAAAATAAAAAAGACTGTTGTTGTATACAACTGAACAGCACTAATGTTAAGTGCTAAGTAATGATCATAACGATTTTACTTGGAACAAATTACCTCTTGCGATGATATGTTTAACACTATCAAACAATATCTCCTTATCCCAAATCCTTAGGAAGGACTCCATAGGTGGATAAAAATACCAAATCCAGTCTAAATATCTGGCTGACGGTGCCACGAACCATAATACATTGCATCAATGTTTATGCATATTTTATTTTTTTGATAATTTGGCGTCACTAGTCTGTTTTAAACCTGCATTTCGGGCACATGGTTAAACCAGAGCTAATAACAAATGAGATAGAAGGGAAGAAGGGAAAAGAGAAAAGCAAAATGATTAACCTTCATGAAAAGGACGGTTGTCACCTTTAAAGCCCTTCACAGCTTGGGACCAGGCTATCTGAGGGACCGTCTCTTGCCGGTCACATCTACCTGACCCGTCAAAGCAGGGAGACAGGGAATGTTGCGGTGGCCATCCCCGAAAGAGATACACCTGGTGGGACCCAGAAGAAGGGCCTTCTCCGTGGTGGCTCCCTCTCTCTGGAATATCATTCCCCCAAAGATTAGACTGGTCCCCACTCTTATTCTCTTCTGGAAGCCGTTGAAGACCTGGTTCTACCAGCGGGCCTGGGGAACCCAGAGCCAGATGGAGCCCATTAAATGGCTTGTGTAATCTGCTGTCGCTGGGGGGGGGGGGGGGGGGGGTGATTTTACTATATTAATTTATTTGATTTTACAAGTTTTATTGTTTTTAAATTGTGGTTTTATATGTTGTAAGCCGCCTTGAGTCGCCATGGCCAATAGGCGGCAATACAAATCATATCAAATCAAATAATCAATAAATAAATAAATAAATTTTGCCGTATAAGAGCAAACCTAGGGGTGAATTGCATAGGTTTGTTTGGGGAAAATAATAGGTGATAGGTGACTGTGAGTCATCTGTTCCTATTAGTGTTTAAGAAGAGCGGAGAATTTAACATTATTGGGAAATCTGCCCAAATGGAAAGGTTTCAGGAAATCTGCAAACTCTGCCTGTGATCCAAATGTTGCACTGTTGAATAATCAGACATGAGCTCCTAAATGACTGGGATAGCAAAGGCCCAAATAGTCATAGTCTTTGGTGCTCTCTGAACTTGCTTGTTTTCTTGCAGACATTTCATTACCAAACTAGATAACATCATCAGTGTTAGAAACTAGTTTGAGTAACGAAATGTCTGCAAGAAAATAAGCAAGCTCAGAGAGCACCAAGGCCTCTTCATGCCAACCCTGAGCTACAAATATTCTCTTTTATCAATTATAATTTTCTGGTATCGGATTGCATTCTTAAAAGGTCTGGGGCTAAGGATCATTAGGTGCAGAATTTAATGATGAGCTAAAGAAAAAGGGCTGAAGAACTGAGAGAGAACAGAGGAGAATTTAACAAGAACCCCTCTGGCAAAGGCATAGAAGAGAGCTATTTAGCTGTAGCTATGGTATTTTCCTCTTGGCTTTCAGCTTCTCATTAGACTCAAAACCAACGATTGACATCCAACAACTCGATTTCAGCTTTAATTATAGCATTCTATTACTCCTTTGAGGGTAGCACTCTCATTAAGCTTCTACCCTTTTTCTTTTGCAATACATTGGTACCCTGGTATTTAGTTGCTTTGAAACTCATCAAATTTGGGACTCAATGAATTTTGATGCAAAAAAAAATCATCCTGGTACTCATCATTTGGTACTCAATACACAAGCTAGAACTAAGCTAAGAGCTGTGGTGGCTCACTGGTTAGAATGCAGTGCTGCAGGCTACTTCTGCTGATTGCTGTCTGCCAGCTGTTTGGTAGTTCAATTCTCACCAGGCTCAAGGTTGACTCAGCCTTCCATCTTCCAAGGTTGGTAAAATGTGGACCCAGATTTTTGGGGGACAATATATTGGCTCTGTAAACCACTTAGAGAGGACTATAAACCACTGTGAAGTGGTATGTAAGTCTAAGTCTGCTATGGCTATTGTCAGTGTCGGCTGCCTTTGTGACTCACTCCATTATTCCTTATAGGAAAAAATTGTTTGGCACTCATTCTCATTGTTTTTGCTACTCTTCGTGCTTCCCGGAACCAATTAACGATGAGTACCAAAGTTCCACTGTACTTCCTGCTCAGAATTTTAGCCCAGATCAATGAAACAATTCCTTTGCACTGTTTTTTCTTCTATTTCTTTGATTGTTACTTCCTAGAGCTGTATTCTGATTACCAAACAGGTTCCCGGAGGCAAATATACATACTCACACGTAGGTGAATGCGCACCACAAAAAGCAATAGAGAAGTGAGCGACGTACAGTTTTGATCAATGAAAAAGTACAAAAAATTAAGAGCCCCCCCCCAGCCTGAATCCTTTTTCGGGGTCAGAGTTCACACTGGCCATGTTACTCTGACATTTACTAAACTGACTTTGTTTACAGTAAATCACAGTGGGGGGAGATACAGTTCAAAAGCACCATTCAGCTTTCAAACACTCACTTTCACCAGTATAATTTTCGGTGACTCCTTGCATCCTCCTTCCTTCTGCTGCTGCTCCCATTCAAACAAGGAACTGTAGTTTTCCAGCATGCGGACCATGATTTTGTTACACATCTCCTGCTGCTTCATCCCTTCGAAGCCAGGTGGGACACTGCAAGACAAACAAAGCAATCAATACATAAAGCAGGATGGAAGCCTCAAACACTGTGTAGTTTTCTTCTCTAACGGCCTGAAATGAGGCACGTCTAGGCCAGTCCAAGGAGGGAGCACAAAATAAGAGGGATGAGTCCAAACCTGATTTGCTCTTAAGACTGATTTTTATAAAGGAGAGAAAATTACTAGAGATGATCTTCAAGGGCAGTGGGGTATAGCCTTGCGATGGATTGATTTTGCTAATCGCTTTCGATTTTAGGACAGGCCCTAAATATTACATCACATACTCTAATGACTAACCATGCAAATGAACTGCAAGCATGAAGCACAACAAAAAGTGGGAGTCGGAGTAATAGCTGTTAAGACTTATATACCGCTTCATAGTACACAGTCAGTAGATTGCCCCCAACAATCTGGCTCCCGATTTTATGGACCTTGCAAGGATGGAAGGCGAGAATCGAACTGCTGGCAGTCAGCAGAATTAACAATAGCACTTAGATTTATATGCCACTTCACAGTGCTTTACGACAGTCTCTGAGCATATTTATCAGAATATTCATGAACTGGCAGACATGGTAACAAGGTCAGCCAATGAGAGCTGAATCAGAAACTGAAACTGAAGGAGCCCGGGCGTGGCCCTGCAGCTCCGAGTCCTATGCTGAGAACTGAAACTAATTTGCTCTGAGCTCTGAAGCTGCAAATGTGTCTGGGCTTGTCTGTAACTACTACCATGTTGGAAGCAGAGGTGGTATTCAGCAGGTTCTGACTAGTTCTGGAAAACCGGTACGGAAATTTTGAGTAGTTTGGAGAACCGGCAAATACCATCTCTGACTGGCCCCACCCCCATCTATTCTCTGCCTCCCAAGTCCCAGCTGATTGGCTGGGTCTTCTTTTGTTGCCCTGCACAGGAGAACGGAGCTGGAAAGCAGGTTAGTGGGGTGGGAAGGGAATGGGATTTTGCAGTAACCTTCCCCCAGGAGTGGGAAGGGAATGGAGATTTTGCATTATCCTTCCCCTGCCACGCCCACCAAGCCATGGCCACAGAACCATTAGTAAAAAAAATTGAATCCCACCACTGGTTGGAAGAATCTACTATTGGTATTGTACATTTTACTCATATGTTTTTATGTATATAAAGAAGTTATTGAATCCTGCTGAATCAGTCATCTGTGTGTGCTTTCTGGATTTGATTTCTGCAATAAACTCTGACAATATTGTCCACAACAATCTAGGTCCTCATTTATGGATGGAAGGCTAAGTCAACCTTAAGCCCAGTCAGGATCAAACTCCAGGCTGTGGGCAGAATTTCCCTGCAATACTGCATACTAACCACTTAGCCACCAGGGTTGCTCATATAACTAGGCGCCTGATAGGATGGTCTCCAAAAAGGCGATGGATGATGAGTTCCAGAGGATTGCATGCAGATGGAACATTAATTTTGATAGCTGGAGAACATGCATACTGTTTGGAAAAGGTTGAAGGTATAGTGGCGGCAAAGTGAGAATGCAAAGTACAATAGCCTTGCTAAATCAAAACAGCAGAAGACGACACAACAATTTTCAGCAACTGTTGCCAGGGTAGAAAAAATGATATGTGGGAGTCACACCGTGAAGGCTACTTCAAGAGAAGATAAGAGTGTCCTTTGATTGCTCACGATGATACCAAAAGACCAAAGGCTAATCGAATATATTGTTGCAATAAAATTTCTCCCCCTCTGTCACTGAACAGAATGCCACCTTGACATATTGCAAGCCAATTCTAAAACATCTGTCACTTGCAAAAGTAATTACTAAAAATGTCCTTTTAGAGTCAGGCAACCAATTCCAAGGTTCTTTGGATACCAGCCCACCTGTTCAAATATATTGTGGCATGATATAGAGTCTTTTGGACAATCCTCTTCGGAAAACCTAAGAGGCTTCGATCTCTTCAGCTTAGTGAACAAAACTAGCTTGAAATCTTGCTTAGACACCTACACCAAGGGTGTCAAACTTGATGTCATTGAGGGCCACATCAGGGTTGTGTTTGACCTCAGGGGGCTCAGTAGGTGCGCCCAGGTGGTCGTGGCCATGATGGGCATGGCGAGCTCAACTTCACTCGTGTCGGGGGTACCTGTGGTGGCTCGGGTGGGGCTGGGGGGATCCACTTTTGCTAGTAGTTTGTTTTTCTAGCACTCTGCCAGCGAAAACGGAGCTTGAGGTCCCCATGAGGCCTCCCCAGGGCTCAATTTCCAGCTATGACGGCCTCCTGCAAGCTTCCGCCAGCGAACAAGGCCACAGTGCGCGGCACTCCTAAGCTCCATTTTCACTGGCAGAGGCACCGCAGGCCGGTCCTTCGCTATTTCCAGGGTGGCCCCGCAGGCCAGATCTAAGCACCCCGCAGGCCAGATGTGGCCCACGGGCCTTGAGTTTGACACCCCTGACCTACTCCCTGATGAAAATCCTGCTCATAATATCAATCTCCTTAATTAGCTCTGGGTCAGTGTCATAATTTACACTGAATTTCAGTAGAAGAGCTGGGTAGCAATTCAAGTGGCAAGTATTACCTGCCTTGTAAAAGCCATTTAATGTTAGAAGAGAGAAAAGACTTGGAAGCAGGGAAGGATGGTTATATATACATTGTTGCTCAAAAGGAAGACATGATTTGCCCACTCCAAAGAGAGTATCAGACACAGATGATAGCTTGCTTTCATTGACTTGCTGCCAGCAAATCCAAGACAACTCTCCCATTAAAATAAAATAATAAAATAGCATGGAGAACAAAACATACATCTCACTTTTGCATACCTGCAGTTAGCTGTACACAATTTATTTTCAAAACCCACCATCTACACTTATTTTGGCTGAAAGCCAACCAAGGCAACTAATACTATGTCATTTTTTTTAAAAAAGAGGCACCGTAACAAATCAAAGCAATTCAGTGAAAGAAGGAATGGCAAAATTCATTAAAAAATAAAAGCCAGTTTGATGTGTTTTGTTAACAATATCAATTCCAGAAAATGACAGAGCCGAAAATAGCATCCCTACTACCTAAAACCATCCCATATCTATGTTTGTTGGTGCTGCAATTAAATTGTTCCTCCTGCTGGTAGAAATTTGGCTGAGGCTGCCCATTCTTTGTAGCTTTCCCTTGGACATTTTCTAGCCTATTAAGAGAAATCTTTTTAATTCTGCTTCCTGCTATTCATAAGTGCACAGAGACTGCTAAATACATAAATCCAATTTAAATCAAGTGTTATGCTACTGAGTAAATAGACTTTGTTTGTTTAAAGCTGCTTTAAACAAAAACTGTGTTGCAAGCTCCCCTCCCCCCATCTCCTTAATCTCCCATACGATTAACCATGTGAGTGATCCTTTTTTCTTTTCTGCCTGAAAATTCTTGCACAATAGGTGGTGTCCTCTTGGTTAATGAAACATTTTCATCACACACAAGAATTTTGATTGGGCAAGACACTCTTTGCAACATTGCATCCAAGGAAGAAGGAAGATTTGATAAAAATGGTGTCATATTTAAACACTTTACAATTATTCATGAGCAACTTACTAGATAGATAGATAGATAGATAGATAGATAGATAGATAGATAGATAGATAGATAGATAGATAGGGAGGGAGGGAGAGAGAGAGAGAGAGAGAGAGAGAGAGAGAGCATAAATATTATTGATGTTATACTTTATTGGCACTGCCCTTATCTGTTTATTTTTAACTCAATGCCTCATATAACTTTCCAAGAAATGATAGGCAGGAACTTTTGAGTGTGAAGGCTCTGATTCTTGGCTATTTTTTGAAGTGGCAGAAGGTATGTTCTTCCATGCTATCAAATAACACTAGAAGTAAATTACTCCGATGCTCTTTGGCAGTAGTAACGTGAGTAATTTTACACTATGCCTTTAAAATGGATAGGAACTCCCAATTTGGCAATTACTACTTTCACATCAAAGTGAAACTTGGTAAGTCTGACCAATAGATATACAGGTAGTCCTTGAGTTATGACCATATATAGGGACCGGAGAATTTGTCATTAAGTGGTGCAGTCATTAAATGAGACTCCACCTGATTTTACAACTATGGTCATAGTCACTAAGTGGATCACTTGTAAAGCAAAATATCATGTGATCCCGACTTGCAAATTCCCTCTGGCTTCCCCACTGACTTTGCTTGTTGGAAGCTGGCTGGGAAAGTTGCAAGTGGTGATCATGTGACTTTGGGACACGGCAACGATCGAAAATCCAACTTGTAGCTGACTATTCAGATAGCAATCATGTGACCAGAAGGATGCTGTAATGTTCGTTATTGAGAGGACAATTATAAGTCACTTTTTCAGCATCATTGTAACTTCAAACAGTTGCTAAACGAATGGTCATTAGATGGAGATTACTTATAGGTTGTTATGGAGAACCGCCAAGACAAAAGACTCTGCTACATTCCAAAGGATGATAGATAAGATTGGCAAAACTAATAAACACTCCCCGTTTTTTTCCTCGCAACTCCATTAAATTGAAATCTCAGGGTTTCCTGTGTCTAAGGCATGGCAGGGCCTGATTTCTTTACAAAAATCTGGATGCATTTAAATTAGTGTTCATTTGTCTCCTCTGCCCGACAAATCTGGGGTTATACTAAAAGGATGGTGTCACATGTCCCCAAAACTCCCCGCTAACTGTGCTTTATAGAGAAACCGTTCTCTAAAAAGTAAAGCAAAGCTGATGGAATCAAGGAAAGGGGAACCCAAATATACAGACTACAGTTTGGAGGAGGGAAGACAATCGATAAACATCACAGAACAGGTGTACAATAAAAGAAACATGTTGATGCTCCCAGAATCACAGAATTCAAAGGGACTGTTCAGGCTATCTTATAGACTGGTGTGGTGGCCTAGAAGTGGAGCTCTCATCTCACAATCAGGAGGCTGTGAGTTTGATCCTAGGTAGAGTCAGATATTTCTCTCTCTGGGAACAATAAGAATTTATCTGCTGAATATAACTCCACATTGGCAACAGGAAAG